TGAGCCTCGATACACCAATGAGTCCTTTAAAAATCTGCTTTCAAACCTTGGAATTGCGAGAGTTTCATTTCCGCGTAAAGAATATTTACTATTGCGCTTTATAAAAATACTTTCTGATAAAGATTCTGGTAGACTACGATTGCTTGCTTTATGAAAAATCTGACTATGAAAACATGACTATTAACTATGCGATAACCTATGATCAAGTATAACACTAATAACATACCACACTATCCTATATACTGACTACACATGAGACAACGAAATATTACATAAAGAAGAAGAAGAAAGTCCAATAAGAAGAAACATGCGCCTGCATTCCAACTTGACAAAGCATTTTTCCTAGTCTTAGCTACAGAATAATCAATTAAAAATTGACGGTCATTGGCCTTTGTATCGGTAGTTCCCCTCAGGCGTTAAAGAATGGAAGATAAACTAATCGAGATACAGATCGAAAAACGATTTTAGATTTATCTAGAGCTTTGACAACTGTCGTAGATCAAACGTGGTTTAAGTTTGGAGTCATTCTTTTTATCTTGGTTTTCTTTTGCTATTCATTGGCTAAAATACAAGGAGTTAATTAACTGACTAATCGTATCTTATCCAATCAAATATCAAGAAAAACAAAGAAAGAAAATGAACAATAAATAAATAAATAAATAAATAAAAGCTGATGAGTGTGATAAAGCGAAGAAATCACCATTGATTAACCATTCACTGCAGATATCAAACGAACCAATGTATCAGCCTCAGTACACTTGACTCTATCTGATGCACAGGTGTGGATCAGTTATTTCAATTCAAACGAAAGCAAAAAGTCTTGTACATTACATCTCAAATCCCTAATTATTTATCAAGATGCTTAGAAGCAATATTTCAAGATGCCAAAAGTCAGTAATTAATCTCATTCTGTCGTCGTTTAGCACCAGCCAGTTCTTCAAGTATGATCAAAATCACTGAAACAAGGTGACTGCGAATTTAAAAAATCATTTATTATGCTAATAAACTTACACTCTGACTGAACGATGAGTCTTAGTATTCAGTCTGAGTATTACCGCCCTTAAAAAACCAGCTTAGCCACAAACTAAATCGAAAATCATTTTTCAAGTTTTGTTTTTGCGATCCATAGAACGGAAGGCATAGCCAGTATGACACAGTATTAGCCAAAGCAAAAAATGGCTGCCATTTTCATCTATATGAAATACGACGAACTTATTTTTTAGTACACTGTAAAATCTAAATCTTCCAACTGTTTGCATGAGCGGTGTGTTCTCTACCTACTCCGATCAAAGAGAAACGCAATTCACTACCTATGAAATAAAACTGCACTCGTTTGAAAACTAGCTTGAAACGCACTATAGCTTCAGATACTTATTCAAAGCAAAAGCAAAATATATAATAATAAACAACAACAACAACAAAAACAACAACAAAAAAGCAAAAATAAATAAGTAAATAAATAGACCAACACGAACTGAATATAAGGCTGCATAGTGAATTACACAAAACTTAAAACCTTTTAAAATGTTGCAACCTTACGTTTTTTCATTTGTAATTTATTATCAATTAATTAGATTTTTATCCTTTTTTCTCTATACTTAATTCGGTATATTCAAATGTACGTGTAAATTAAATAAAGTCTAAAGTTTAAGGTCTTTGATTCAGCGCCGAAAGTAAATCTAGAGAGTGTACACTTAAAAACCTCAAGTAAGACTATAATTTGAATGTCAATTCGTATTCACTATAAATGCAGTATTCAGTTTTCGATTAAAGATTAAACTTTTTATGGCCGAAAAAAACCTACCTTTTTTGTCCTGCCTTTTTCTTTAAATCAGCTTGTGGAATAATTGGTTTAACCTAAAGAGACATAACCAGACAATGTCTTCAATCATTATACATCTCAAGAGTAGACTAACAACTATTTTCTTCGATTTCAAAAGATCTATTAGGTACGATGTAGGCCTCGAGCGATAGAAAATATAATATCTATCGAATAAAATATGGGAGAGATAATCAGTTCAAGCCTTTAGTATTGGCCAGAGACTGGCTCTCGTCATCGCTAGGCAACCGTTCGTTAGGGTAGTCCATTAAGGGTCTTTGGTGAAAATGGATCTGTTTTTGACGTGTGTGATTTACCACCTTGGATAAGGGTAGAATATAAGATATCTATTTTGTTTAAGAGTGTGTTAAGTCTTATGTAAATTAAGTGTGATAATTTGCTTTCGCAGCCTTGTATTTTGAAGACAGTTTTCAAAATTTTCTAGGTAAGTTAAAACCACTTTAAAAAAAAATCAATTATCGGGAAATTGCTCTTGTCTTTATTGTAAACATGTATTTGTTTGCCTCGAGGGGTCAATTAAAACTTAAGTGTTTTCCTTCTCCTATCTTACCAATCTCGGGTTATGTACATAGATTTTGGTGTTTTGTGTTAAAGCTTCTTTTACCAAATTTACTTCATCAATTTTCCCGCCCTCGTCTCGACATTTTATACTGTGTGAATGTGTCAGTTTGTTTTGCCTGTCGTCTAAGGAAGTTATGCCATACGCCGAAGATAAACAAGCCTATGCGAAGACGAGACAATTACGTATCTAAAGTGTTAAGAGTTTATAAATACTTTATTCACCCTCAGAGGATCGGAAAACATACTTATGTTTTATGTATTCCCCATCTTTGAAGTCACTAGATTATTTATTTTATATTCGCTTAGCTTTTTTTCAGAAAGAGCCGCTAATGTTTTTATTGACAATGTGTATATGTGAGCACAAACGGATGAAGGCATGAAAACAATTTTCAAATTATCATACTTTTGGTTCTCATAGTCAATAGAACATTAAGAAATACGTTTACACGCCAAATAGTACTATATTCAACTCACCGACTAAGTAGGAAACATTAGTTATCAATATGCACCGGCAAATTTCTTAACAGTTAATAAGTATACGAGACTTATGTCAAGACTTACTCAAGGCCATGTTGGAGCCAAAACAAATCAATCAATCAATCAATCAGTCAGTCAAACAATCAATCAACCAACCAACCAATCAATCAATCAATCAGTCAATGAATGAATGAATGAATGAATGAATGAATGAATGAATGGATGGATGGATGGATGAATGGATGGATGAATGAATGAATGAGTGAGTGAGTAAGTGAGTGAGTGAGTGAGTGAGTGAATGAATTATTAATCTATTATATCCAATTAAAGGATTATATAGCTATATTCCGACGTAGGGCCCATACAATGTATTTTCTCTCTACTGGTCTTTTTTCTGCCCATCGTTCTGGGTTTAGTTTGGTGGAAAAAAACCAACCAGTATGCCGCTCAGCGCTACCGAGGGGAAGAAAACCAACCTCTGCTCGCAAGGTAGAAAAACGCACACATGTAGTAAAAAAGGCTTAAGCGGCGAATGGTGATCGGTAATTGGCGAATGCACGACCACTAAAGAAACTGTGGCATACGCCTAAACATGCACAATACTCGCGGTGATTAAATTGTTTTGTCAACTTCAAACAAGACTGCCGGGATATCTCAAGAATATCCTCTGTATTCTTGACAAGAATAATACAAAGAAACACCACTCATTACAGTTGTTCTTGGATCTTGGAATGACCAGTATCTCAGATCGCTTATCTCTTGTAGCTTATTGCATATCGCCTTTGGCTCCGACAAGGTTTTTTTTTGTTTTTAGATGTATATACGCAAGAGAAAATGAACTAAGAGAAGGAATTCCCCCTATATAAGCATTTGTTTTTCTGCACGCGCATTTACTGCGTGCGCTCTACGCTGTTTGCTTACGTTTTTGGGGGTTTTTCGTTATTTCGACTCTGCCCTGGATATGAATGTGCACGTCGAAAGCTTGGCAAATACGACAGGAAATTGAAGTAGTAATTTGTTCAAATTTCTGGAGCATTTTTACATTTATTATTCAAAGCTTTCGACCTTCATCGTCATCTTGATGGCAGATTTGAACATTTGAACATAAGAAAAGCACAAGAAAACGTTAGCAAAAAGCGTAAAGCAAAAAAATCAAACGATCAAATAAACGATATCATTGGAAGATATTTTTAAAATAGATTCTAAAAATAGCATCAAAGTGTGCACATGATGGGGCACGGGGATTCCTTCTCTTAGTTCATATTCTCTTGATATACGTACATATAACAAATAGCGCGCTTTGACTGTAGTTAAGGATGTTGGGTACAGTTGTCAGCGCGCACTTTTACTGTGCACATTATGTAATCCACAGGAACTCCAATATTTTCAAAAATAAGGACAACAACAAAACGAAATAAATGCGTGATCATTGTTGTCATCATTTTTTTTTTTAATAGCAATTTTTTCATGGATGTCTGTATGGTATAGTTTTAATAGTACTGTGAAAATAAAAGTGAAAGTTGTGAAAAGGAGAAAACGACGACTATATGGTAGATTTGTCAGAAATAGAGTACCGGTGAAGCGACAAAAACTAGACGAAAAAGATCAAGCGTCGGAGAAACTTGAAAACAAACACAAACAAAGGCAAATTATTGAGTTAGATTACCTGATGGAGCAGATAAAAAGTGGGTGTAGCGAATGTAAAAAGGCACTTAAACTTCATGAATTAATCGATGAAAAAAAGTTTGGACTTGGTAGTTTGTTTTACATTCAATTCGAATGGGGAGTTCTAAACTAGCTATAAACCACTTAGCTTCTTTTATGAAAATCTTGATTCTTCATTCAATTCTCAGTTATCCCTACAAGGTTTTCTTATTGCATTCTCTAGATCAATTTAGTGACCGTATCAGTCTTGATCTAGTAGTTCTTGCAGTAGTCCGCCATGTTTACCATCCCATAATACAATGCTCAACCACGTCTCTCAGGGGAGGGGTGGAGGAAATTTGTAACCATCCCTGGAAAAAAGCTTGAAATCTGATATTCAAAAAATTATAACTACAAAAAACGCATGGCGACCCCAGTTTTTTACTTTCTAGGTATGTTTTGTAAACACTTAAGATAATTTTGAATGTGCTATTTCAAAAATAAAAATAGTTTTGGGCGGTTTCTTTTTTGATTTTGTGTTTTTGTCCAAAATTGGAATTTCGACACCTGGAATTTCATCGGGTCTTTAATGACAATTATCTCGCTTGGATGCGAGGGGACCCGAAACGTTTTTCACGTTTTTAGATAGCGCCTTGGGTACTCTAAATAACTGACACAGTTTCATTTAAATAAAAATGGGTCGCGAACTGTACCCGCCATCCTTAATATAACCTACTTTCTGTGGACTCCTGGCTCACGGCCTTTGAGGATTGAAAAGCCGCAGCTTTTGGACACGAGTCATATTCATGGATAATTAGAAGGTTTTGTAAGAATAAGTCCTGGATAAGTAAAATTGGATCGAATATATTTCTATCCTATTATAACCTGTACCAAAAAATACTATTACTGACTAATCATTTGACCTAGTTATATCTCAAATTCTGATTGGCTTATCAAAAAGCCAAAACTAAAGCTGTTTCCTTTATATAATGTGATAAACCGGCGAAATCTACTTATAATATTTCAATATCAGAAAATTGCTTTTAATGTCTGCGTATGATAACAACATAAGAATCATTTAACTGGCTCGAACCAAGAGAACCTTTCCACTTGAATCAAAGCTGAACTTTACTTGTCCTTTAAACTCAGTGGTTTCATCTTTAAAGGGCATACAGGTAAAAGGGATTTTTTCTAAAGTCTTGACAGAGAAACTGCAGAGTCTCTATGGCCAGAAAATGCAAATGTTGAAGTATAGTACGCACCTTACACTCGCTATCACTATATTCTGCATTTCAAACCACGATGATACCTCCGTCCAAAACGTTCAATGATAGTTTCGAAAAAATAGAATAGAATGGAATGGAATGGAAGTACAGTTAACTTTCAAAACTATGTTTCCTGAAACTTGGCAATGCAGCATTGTCTCTTGATAATATTGCCTTACCAGAGCCGCTTCGGTGAGAGACGTAGAACCGTTGTTTATCAGAGATCTGATGTTGTTAAGTCCAAACTCATAACCATACATATCTTCGTTCATAGAGAAGCCGACCAATTAGACAGCTTGATCGATCTCTCGTGACATCACAATTAACTGATTAATTTTCTTCTTTGCCGAACCGTAAATCTATAAGGGTTATTCTGTCTAATCAGTATCAAAAAACACTTAAGTACCAAATGAAGAATAATACTTGAAAAGTTCTTTTTTTAACTGAATTCTCAGATAGTATAAACGTTATTAGAAATTCATTTGTCATTCTTAAAAAACATTTCAGGTTCACAAACAAATGTCTTTCCTGTTTCAAAACAAATGTCAAAAGGGATTTAGTTCTTTAGGGTGGTTGATTAATTCTTTGCGTTCAATATCTCTGTATCTCTATCAATACACTTATATCCTTGTCTTTGCTGTTATTTTTCTATTCTCTAGTATTTTCGAGGCTGGCGTCTTTCGAGTGTATTGACTCCAGACTTATATTCATTGATAAAAAGTCTTGCGGATACCCGTAAAAGTTTGTATTAATAATATATATATCACGACGTTTCTCCACAAGAAAAACAAGAACAAAAAAGAAAACAAAAAAGCTATCTGAGAATGACGCAAACACAAAAATCAAGTTAACTAACAAATAGATAATCATTACAAGCTTTATGGTGAGGAGTGTGTATATTTTATATTTAGATCTTATTAATCGAGCGGGAGGTCTGTACGGGATAATCTTGACCGAGGTCGGAATGCACATATGACAACATATACAACTGGCATATGGCTAAAGATTCATCTGTATATCAAATAAATGCATACATTCACTAATCAGTTTTACAGCTTTACTGGTCATTAATAACTGCTTGAGGATATAAGCTCAGTGCCCGCCATTAGCAGCAACCGGTCTCCGGTGAAAGTTGATCATGCCCGGGTTAATTTTAGCATTTAATGAGGCTGGTGCTTTAGCTAATAGTATGTAAACAGCTAAGTGTGTCTTGAAGCATGTCCTACACAAGATTAATATCACAGTACTCATGTTTTTCCCCACGAGAACATTTGGCTCTTCGCCAAACCAGAATCACGGAATCAATCTAAATATTGCATAAGAAGACATAACTGATATATTTAACTTCCAATTTAATTTTTTTCCTTGCTTGCATTCTTTATGTTAACTCAGTGTATAGTTCTCCCTCTTTGTCGGAATTTGTTCAATATTGTAAATTGTAACGTAAATATCTGTTCTTATAACATTACTTGTTTTGTGTTTTCATTCCCCTTTATTCTTTTGTTTACCTTCATTTTCCTATTGGTAATTTACTAATCTACTCTCCACTACATTTGAAAAAATATTTCAAACACCTCTAATGCTGCCAAACTCCTTTAGCTTCCTAGATATTTTATGCAAAATATCATAGTTAATAGAGGGGAATCATTCCCCTCTATTAACTATGAACATATATTATCTGATGCCAACATATAGAATTTGATTTATTTTGTATCTTCCTTATTGGAAGTGTCCTTCATTATTGAAAGTACCCTTATTGGAAGTGCACTAACCCTTCACAGCGAAGGCTCTGGTAACACATACCAGAAGACCTAGATTCTAAGTCGTCAGCTTTGCACTGCATGCTCCACAAATCCTTACTTCCGGTATGAATTCAACCAATGCGTCGTTATAGCAAGTTTTCAACCTTTTTTGTTCGAAAGAAAAACAATCACGCTCATATGCATTGTTTTATAGAACAGTTTTTTTTTGTCTATTATTATCATCCTGAAAAATATGCAATTTAGCCTGACCCTTAGAGCACTTGACGAGAAATTAATGAGCCCTTAGTTTTACAGTGTTATGTTGACCACACAAATTCATTTACAGCCAGTTTCTTGATTCTGCGATCTAACTGACTCCAGAGGCCTGGCTCTTTTTCTTCTATCAATCAAATGTACGACGTGTTTAGTGCATTTTTAGTTCGACAATGAAAAATATTGTCCATTGTTAGGTTGGTTGGTTGGTTGGTTGGTTGGTTGGTTGGTGGGTTGGTGGGTGGGTTGGTGGTTGTGTCAGCGCTTTCCTAACGTTAATCATAACATACAGAAATGAAAAGATAATAGTGTAGAAGCTTCCTACTGTTGAAGTATATTATCAGAATTTAGGAAGTACTATATTGGGAACAAGATTAGATACGAGATTTAAGGAGCTCAACGATAATCGTTTTTTTTTYTTCTTTATTTGCCTGTCAGATTTTCCCCCCAGACTTGTTACTAATTACAAATCCTAATGCAAAAGTCAGGGTATTAGGGGCAGGAAAAAAGCTTCTTACTCATATTGCCCAGTCCTATGCTCGATATGGAAATAGCTTYTTTTTTTTTCTGTTAGATCCGTCACGTGAGTAAGGGCCGAACATGCTAGAAGTTTCCTTACAAAGTCTTGAAAACGTATGTTGTTTAGTATTGCAAAAAGAAGTTGAACTTTTTTCATTTTAAATAATGTAGCTTCCTATTGAGGAAGTGACTGATTGCTTGTGAATATTATTTCATCACTCAGTCAGTCAGGGGTACGATTCCTAACACGCGTTTGTTTGTTTTCAAACCTGCAGGCTTAAATGTTGATCAGACAAAGTTTGAACGCGACTGCATAGAGTAAATCATGTACAGAAACAAAATGGATAGATACATTAATTAACGCGGTATTAGTTTCCTTGTGAGTTTTGAGTGGGAGAAATCGGCGAACATGACAAAGATAACGATGATCAAATTTAGAATGTTGAACTTAAAACAAAATACAAATTTAATTGTTTAAACAAAATCGATCAACATGAAATTATTTTCTGTTTTTGACTTGTTGTTAAACATAGTATAATGAATATGGAACAGAAGACGCGCGCGGTAAAGAGAAACAGATAATAAACCTCATGTATGTATGTGATATTGTGGTTCAATTGGCGAAAATTATATTAGGTTGCATTTTGAATTACACCAAATCTGCCTTAATGTAAAAAAAATGTGATTTACATGTTCTACAACAAAACAAAGTACCTAACAACAAAGTGTCTAATGCAAAAACCTACCGCAAAGCTATTGTAGTTTTGTTTAAACTGTTTCTTTGGTTTCAGTGAACAAAACAGGCCTGACATCAACTTCAGTTGCTGTTGACTTAGGAACGTTGTGATTGGCTGACAAGGAATTTTTCGTGGTTCTTATTGGTTAAAAGGAAAGCCATTTGAGAGTTGTATTGCTACCGCATTCGTTTTTCTGCTCTCCGTTTAATCACTCCCCCTCTCTCTCAAGTGATTCTAAAACCCCGACTCTTTATTTCCTCAAGCTTTACTCTAGATGGATCGAATGCATTCCAATGTTTTGACTATTGCAATATTTTTGGAAGTAAAATGAACTATTACAAATCTTATTTTCAACAAACTTCTTTTTTTCAATTGGAAAGTTTATCATTGGACATCAGACAGGAAAAAAGCTGCGCCAACCCCTGTGAAGGCGTCTAGCATTGAAATAATCGTTAATTAGGTCAATTTGATTTCACTCGATAAAACTTGTGTTGGTTCTCGCGACCAGTGAATGTGAAGAAAACTGAAAGCAAATCTCAACGGAGGTTCGCCCTTATTGGTATTAGTAATTGACTTTATCTGCTAGAACGGCAGACGTGATCAACACTATGTAAATAAACATTGATAACGGTAATGCTACGGTTCCTGTTATAGCTAGAAAAAGGAAATTCAAATGTTGTTAATCATATCTTAGTAAATACCTCTATTTTTTGTTCTTCTTCTTTCTTCTTTGTTCTTTCTTCTTCGTCGCCGTCGTCTTTTTCGTTTATTTTTTTACATTCCCTTTTCTTTCCTTTTCTTTACTTCTTTCTGTAAAGAAAGATCAACAACAACTGACGATCAGGCGTGAGGATCGTTCTATCTCTAGCGCCTAGGTATAATTGTTTTACTGTTAGCGTCGTGGGTGGAAAGAAAACAAAAGTCTGCAGCATATTTCTCGCCTGAATAGATTTAAACATCAAAACAAAGGATCTAAAACAGATAAAACAATTCTAGAAAATGTTTTTTTTGATGTAACTTAGTTCTTGAACGTTCTCTTACTAGTTTAGTTCTCTGTTTCCTATACTCTGTTCATATGGGAATTACGTTCAAGAGTGTGCCAAGTGTGGTACGCAGCAAGACTCACTGACATAACTAATCTTAATCATTGGCGATCGTACCATCGGATGTTTACTGAATCTGCAGGGTTCAGTGATTTAAAATTTATTATTTATGATATGTTGTACATAGTTGTCATAGCGACCCTTAATTTAGTATAATCAGAAGTTATCTTTAAGGGCTCTCATCGTGAATATCTGTCTAATGAAGCCGAGTCTCATTTGTACAATATACATAAGCCTCGTTTGTCTTAGTACCCATTCTATTAAGAATAACCTATAGCCTTACTTCACAAACTACCTGACTATTGATAGTTTTCACAGCCGCCATGTTGGATGAATTTAACGAAAGTTTCGTTATTAGTATTTTTTGTTATATCATCCAACATGGCCGCCATGTATTTTGTTATTTCATGCTCTTGGGAATGATTGAAAACCAGCAATAACGTAACTAATAGCAAAATAAACAACTAACTATCTAACTGTACGGCTAGCTATAGGTTTAGCTAGATTACGATCTGTACTAATTATCTTATATAGTACCTTTCTCTATTACTGAAAATTATTTTGGAAGATCCTAGGGAACAAGTGGGAACAAGCTATTCTGCAGTTTTGTCGTTTTCCTAATCCAATTGAAAAATGGAATAAAATGCAGCAAATATCAGATGGGATTTAAAAAGTGGTTTAATAGAGTGGATCATCTTCACTGTATTCCAATTGGCATGTAGAAGTGTTGATTTTCATGGAGGAAATGAATTAGAATGCTAGTAGAATGTATGTAAATATTTTATTTAAAATTAACAGTGGTGTTTAAAATAAAGAAACTTGAAACCTAAACTAACTTCGGCTTGGACTTGGAAGAATGTCGGAGAACCTGGAGAAAATCCTGCTGCAGAGGAACGAGGGAGACAATCGATAATCTTACTCTTTGGGCAACTCAAACGCTTATCATTGGTCTCAGAGCTAGTCTGCTCGTTCCTGAGTGAAAATTTTGAAAATTAAAATGTGAGTAAAGAGAAATCCTTCGGCTTTCTGGAATGTGTTTGAATAAAGCTGGATGGTTTAGTGACGAGACTAGATTTCATTACATCCCAAGGTCGAAAAGGTTTTCCTCTGCCCTCGAGCACATTTACACATAGATTATTCACATTCTGCTTTGCTCTAAATGATATTAAACCATGCGAAGAAACAAGTACCTGATGCGTTTAAAGGACGACTCGTTTTAAAAATCCTGGTGAGCCGCAAAACCAGAAACATAACTAACGAAAAATTCAACCAACAGTTGTTAAATTATACATTGAAACATGGCAAGTACAAGCATATAATAATCATATATTTATGGAGTAAGCTAATCTAATATTTATTTAAAGCTATAGGCTTCTTAACACCTCGATGCTTTAGGTTGGAGAGCCTATTCTCATTGTCTGGTTTGTGGCGGCTCGATTTTTCCTAAACCACTGCTAAAACAGATAACTTACCTCTCAATCTCGAAATATCAATCCCTGGATATTAAATTTTTGATGGCTGCATCTAATTGCTTGGTTACCAATCGATGACAAGTTTATAATGAAGTTGGAAAACAAAACGCTTGATACAGTTGTTTAAAGCACCAGTGTCGAAATGAATCGCTAGGTTAAGAAAATTATATTAAAAAACAATTTTGAAACAGTAAAAACCGAAGATATTCATTTGAGTAATCGTACAGTAAAGGTTTTATTTCCTTCTCGAAAATATTTTTTTCATTTCAACTTCGTAATTGAGTAATCTATTTTCTTCCTGAAAGAAAAGAGAGACTCATTGGTATATAAATAACACTAGTTAAACTCTCGACCAATCGGAATGATCCAGTATAATAGAAAAGAGAAAACACAGCAAAAACTACTTTGCCGAGACGTTTATAGTTTCATTACCTGGTCATCAGAATAATTCTGGTTTTTAATTTCAATCCATGATCTAGTTCTTTTAGGGACCGGTTAAAAAACAAACAACCCGAAAAGAAAAGAAAACAAACAACAACAAAAAACAAATCCCCCACCGAAAAAAAAAAWTTGCTCTACTACAATGCAATAATATTATTAGTAAACCCATAAAAGTATCCTTAATCGAGTGGCATACGGTTTCTTGCTTCCCTATCTCTTTCCACTTTTTTATGTTTCTTTTTTTTATTGTTATCTTATTATTTTTTCATTTTTATTACTTTTTGCTCCCCCCTCCCCTCTTGACTTCTCTTAACATTTGAAAGCAAGGCAAAGGAATAAAACTAAAAAAAGAAATTATATATATATATATATATATATCTATATATATCTATATATATAAACAACAACAACAACAACAGCTATACCACCACTTGGCGAATGTCTCAATTAACCCAAATAACACTCAAGGATTTACTTATACTGATTTCTATAGCTCATTAAGACCTCTTCAAGTGCCTGAAGCATTAAGATGAGGACCTGAGCCGGATAATAACTTTTAAAAATACATCGATTACTAATAGTAATGCATATGTAAGAGTAATAATATGCCGCAACAGAAGTAGGAATATGCTTGAAACTGAGTGTGCTGTTTAATGTGAAGTGCTTTTGCGAGCATAGGACTAGATATGGTGAAAATGAAAATACGATTATGTCAGTGGTACCGGAGATCTAGGATTATACTTTTAAAAACTTTTAAAAATAAGAAGACTTATAATTAAATCCACCCATCCATTCCTCCTTTAACATTTGTTACGAAGCATTCAGCAGTTTAATTACTTCTGGATATTAAATTTCATGTCCCCTCCTAAACCCGTCAAGATTCGAACCTGCTTCATTAATTTATTCTTTAAACACTTTCTCGCACAATGTGTTGTTTTGCTTGAACTCTTTTAAAGTATAAAATAAGATTTAAAAAAAAAAAGATAAAGTAAAATGTAAAATCTAGCATTGAAAATTCATTGGATATCGTCTCTCTCCTTTACCCCCCCCCCCCCCCCCCCCCCCCCTCTCTCTCTCTCTCTCTCTCTCTCTCGTTCTCTATCTAAAACTAATAAAATAAATAAATAAACACTGTTGTAAAAGGATCAGAGTTGCTTACAAACTTGTGGCCCGCCTTCCAAGATCGCGTTTGAATTCGGGAGATCCTTTTGCGGAGGGAGGAAAACCCGCCACGGCCTTATGATATGACCGGAGTCCGGGCCGAACCCGAGACACATCCATTAGTGAGAAGCGAGCGCTCTCATCGCTACCTCACCGTGCTCAGCTCTCTCTCTCTCTCTCTCTCCTCTCGGTAAAGAAAAAATAGAGCTGGCCAACCATACACGCATTTACATCGAAATAAAGTAAGTGCATATTGTTATTCCACTGTGGTCCTACTGACATTTATTCTTTTGAGATTCTCTTTGGTATCAATACCTCTTTATACATGCTAATTAATTCTCTGAGAGTCCCCGCGGTAATTATCATGTAAGATCTCGTAGGAATCTTATCCGTTTTCCAGTGTAACCATGGTGATTAAGCCCCGAAACCCGAAAGATAGAGACCTGCTAAAAAATAATGACAAGCGGCCGAAGATCTTTACAAAGGAAAGCCAGAATGTTGAAGAATAAAAACGGTTAAGTGACAAACAGACGGTCAGTGGCTGACAGTGATGTGTAGGCAAAACGTATAGAAAAAAAATAGATCAATATAGGACTAACCAGTACTACTGAGAAAGCTTCAAAACGTCTGTGAAATATGAAAGTGGTGCAAGCTGGCCATGAATATATACCTTGATTTTCAATACAGGGCGCTGTACGTTAACTAAACAGTAATCACTAAAAAAATCCAGGCCATTTTAAAAAAGGCGCATAAACTCGCTGAGAAAAAAACGGCAAAAAACAACTATATATATTACTAAAAATGGGACCTGCGCTTAGCTTTGTGGTTCTTCCTGTTTAGGCTATCAATAGGTCATTAATTTGCCATTTGCACTTTCATATTAACATTTCATAAATCATAACTAATATAATCGGCTAATTAATAAATTCAATAATCACTTGAGTATCGGCTGCCTAACTCAACCATTACAGTTTTTCTGAATGTCCGTTTTCACGGGCGATTTCGTTCATAGTCAAGAAGGTGTACAGTTTTATTCCGGACACCAAGAT